TTGTTACACCTGGTAGAGCAGAACGCTGATCATTTTATTAAAGATGAAAGACTTTAGACAGTTTTTCAACTCTCAGTAATGCCATAGTGATCGTTTGATATATGGACCTGCAGCGGAGTTTAGGCCCAGACACGGCTAGTGACGTCAGATTTAATGACCGGATTATGTTTGTTGGGAGCAGTGATGCTCATAAAGCTGTAAACATGGTAACATGAGACGGTGTTGTAACATTGTAAACATTGTACATGAAAGTTGTATTCGATCAGATTGTCTGATTATCTTAGCAGCAATGTGATGGCTGAGGGATAAAAGCTTTTCCTAAGTCTGTCTTTATGGATCTTAATCATCTGGCTAAAAGTAGACTTTGAAACAGGTCATGATCAGGGAGTGATGGGTGTTGAGGGATTTTCTTAATGTTCCTGAGTGTGGGAGTTGTGCAGTTCTTTAAATGAGGGGAGTGGACAGCTCACTATCCGCTGGGTGACCCGTATAACCCTGCAGTGGTTTCTCTTCTGTGCTACTGTGCAGCTGGAGAAGGATACCAGGATACTTTCTACTGTGCAGTGATAGTAGGACACAAACAGTTTCTCAGGGATGTTATTCTTTCTGAGAACCCTCAGAAAGTAGAGTCTCTTGTGGGCTTTCTTCACTACCTCAGCGGTGTGCGTTCCCTTGATCGGGTCTGGCCTGATCATTTCACACATAATGTGCTGATGGAATTTAGAAAGCACAGATTTTAAATCCACATGATTAAAATCCCCAGTGGGGACTGGCCTTCATGTCCATTATCAGTGTCTGACCTCACAAATGTGCTTCTTGAAGAGTAGTCAAAAATCCCCATCATATGGAAAGTCTTCCCAGAAGAGTTGAAGCTGTTATAGCTTAGAGGATGGGTCGACATCATGTTAAACCATTTTCATTAAAAAATTTATTTTTGGCAATATAGAGTACATCTGGTTTAATATCCAGATATTTAGCTTTACAAAGTCTTTACAAAGACCACATGTATTCATGTTTATTAACAGCTTTCTTTCAAGAAGACTGTAAAAATAGGCTCAAATATTCGGGTGTTGTTGAAGGAATGCTGTGAAACTAACTTTTGCTTCAACTTTTTGTGACCAGGTGCATGCTGAACACTATAGACGGGCCCTCTGAACAGGTGGAGGACTATTTGTGTGACCCAGAGGAAATGCCTTTAGGGGCCCGCAAGAGCCACCTGCCCTGCCCGGAAGACTGTGTGTTGTCAGACTGGGGAGCTTGGAGCCCATGTCCACTGGTAAGGATGGAATGAAGTTGCCAGTCTTTTTTTTTCTTTCTAAATCTTACATTGTTTCTGACATGTTGCCTTTATTATATAGTGGATAGTTGAAACCAGAGTTAAAGTAGTGGTTCTGAATTCAGAGATCTAGTGAAGGTAATAGTAATAGAGGAACCCCGCCTGTGTCAACTAAACCCGCTCTTCGTGCTAAAAAGGCACTCTGTGAATAAGTACATATGTTTGTTGATGGGTAAATGTGTCTTGTGGTGTAAAGGCAGTTTAAGAAAGATAAGTATGCTGCATAAAGGGAATTCTAATTTCCCATATGTGTAAATAGATTGGACCCAGCAACTTCAGAGTTTTAAGACTTCTCAGCCAATCAGATTGTCTCGTATTTCTTTATGGCTATTGTGTAATGAAGTTAAAAACCATTACACTGGATACAGTAGTGATATAGTTTAAAGCCTTCCCCTGCTTTGTAGCGTCATTTTCAGATTCTCAGTGAGTTATTTTAACTACCAGATGAAAGTCAACGATTATTGACCCAAATTGTTTATAATCTAACAAGTTACTAGAATTAACTGATGAGACTGGTAATACAAATGTTCCCAAACTTTGCACAAAAATGAAAAAGAAATTTTAATGAAAAATAACTGGATTAACTCTCTTATTTCTAAGTCATCATAGGTGGTAATCTTAACCCTATATTTTGAACAAGGACAAAATTTCACTCATTATTACAGTCCATAATGGGATATATAGTATGTAGCTCCAATTAATTTACCAATAGGAGAGAAGATGAAAATCTGGCAGCCAATGGTGGGAAAAAGTAAAAGCGCAGCACCAACATAAGGAGCTAAACAAGGTGGAAATTAAGATGCTTCTAAACCAGCCGAGACATATGTTCTCACCAGCATGTCCTGGGTTAGAATAGGGTTTGCTTCCAGCTGGACGTGTCCAGCACATCTCACCTAGATGATGCTCAAAAGGTCAGATGCACGAAGGACCTGAATTGGCTCCTTTTGATAAGGAGCATGACCAAGCTCTAACCCTACTTCTATAGGAGAGCCAAGACACCCTTCAGAGGAAGCTAATGTCAACTGTTTGTATTTGTGATCTCATTTTTTAGTCACTACCCAGGGCTTGTGGTCATAGGTGAGGGTAGGAAAATATATTGCCCAGTAAATCAAAAACTTCTCTTTCATACTCAATGCTCATGCTACAACAGCAGCATTACTGCATATGTTGCACAAATCCATCTGTCAGTCTCCTTCATCATTTTCCCTCTTTAGTGAATAAGACTCTGAGACAAACTGATGTATTTGGGGCAATGATTCAGCCCCACCCCAGGGTAGACACTTTAACTTTTCCCAGATGAAAACAGGATTCAGACTTGGAGTTGCTAATTCTTATCTCAGCCAATTTATACAAATAACTGCATGATGACGCCAACAGAAGCATCTCACATCTCCATCCAAAAGTCCAAGAAATGCATGATATGATTACAGAATCAATCATTAGCCTGCAACCAAGTGTGTCCTAGTGCCAAATGCACTTATGAAAACTCTCATGCTTATTATAGACAACCTGTGAACAACAAAGAAGTCCAATTACAGCGGGCCGCTCAGGTTTAGGTCAGGTAGGATGTGTCTGTGAAGGTTCTGAGTCATCCAGGTCGTCGTAGTCTAAGGAGCTTGGAAAGAAAAGCGTCTGGACTTCTTTAAGTTACTTGAAGACGTTTCACCTCTCATCCGAGAAGCTTCTTCAGTTCTAAGGTCAAATGGTGGAAAGTCCCAGATTTAAACCAAGTGGGAGTTTCCCCCCAAAGAGGGACAAAAGACCCCCTGATGATCCTCTAATCACCTGAGCCAAGGTGGGAAAACGAGTGTGGGTCACAATCAGCCCGGGTTTTGGGTGAGCTCATTGTGAAACCTGGCCGCACCTTATCATGTGATTTCGAAATCACATGGTAGGGTGGGGCATGGTTTCACAATGAGCTCATCCTTTAAGTTCAAGCAACTTAAAGAAGTCCAGATGCTTTTCTTTCCGAGCTCCTTAGACGTCAGGTAGGATGTTGCTCCCGATCACACTCCACCAGCCTTCACTGTCATTGCTCACATGAATGCTGAGGTCCCCAAGGACAACAAATCTGGGGGACCTTCCAGCTATCAGCCAGGCACTCCCAGAAGGCTGTGTACTCTGAGCTGATGCTTGGGGCACAGGGAAAAACAACAGTGAGGACCTGTTCTCTTACCCCAAGGTGCATGGAAACATCCAGCTGAGAAAACTACCAGCAAAGAGAAGTATACCTACCCTAGTTCACTACTTCTTACTGAATGCAACTCCAAAGTGGAATAAAGATTAGCCCGTCTCCAGGATACTGCATCCAGAATTGAGCTGTGTGTTGAGCTGAGCCGAAATATATCTAGCTGGTATTGCTCAGTGTCACATATTTGTTTGTATGTTAATTAATTCAATTCACTTTTATTTATATACTGCTAACAACAATCGTGTCAACACACTTTATATAGTGAGACCCTTCATTATTTAAGAGAGAACCGCAATGACCAATCGCCAAGTGCTTACTCTATGTGCAAGCACTTGGCGATTGGTGGGAAGTAAGCGCTCCTTTTCAACAGGAGCTCTCTGTCAGGACCAGACTCATGGAGGGGCAGTAATCTGCAGTGACCAACTGAGGGTCAAGGGAAAAGAAGGGACAAAAGGTGAGGACAGATAGACCGCTAATAACAAACAGGACAAGACAGTTAACAATGTGCAAAAGTGCCATATAAACAAGTCAGGACTGAAAAGAAGAAAGAATGAAAGTCCAACGCCAATCTAGACTTAGAGCAACATAACAAAGGGATTTTTGTTATGTTGCTCTTATTTACAAACAATCTAAACCTTTTAAAAAAACAACAACAACAGAAAAAAATGAGTCCACAGAAGAGGGACTGGATAGTTAAACCTTGTAGTTCCCATTCTACTTTTGGAAACTCAAGAAACCATAGGTACCATAGGTATGGTAGGAGAATGTGACTGTGGACAGTTGTCTGTCTCTATGCGTACCGCACCTCTTGTGTTAATGTAGCTGGGATAGGATTCACATTTGGAAAAATGTGAATAGATTTTCCTGTGTGCCAGTTAAAATGATCATTTTCTCAGTTCTCTGTTGCCAAAACTTGGATTAACTGTGAAATAAAAACAATATTCTGATTGCCGAGGGTTAGAATTAGAGTTGGGATTATCACTGATAATGACTTTGACTTCTGAAGGTGAATATATGAATTAGGCCTGAACATTCAGGACTTCGTGTGTGAAAAAAACAAGCTTAGCTTCTGTTCTGGTTTTGGACTTTTTCTTGATCGCTTTGGCACAATTGTGACAGCAGAAAAGTAATTCTTACTACTGTTAATACAGTTCTCAAATCAGGAACACATTTCACCAATACAAACTGCTGGTGTTTCAATACAAGATATGATGCACTTCTCACTTGAATCTCACATCTCATCAAAAGAGTTCAAATTTCAGTCAAATTACTTCTGTCTGTCTATCTCCAACATAGAAAAATCAAAAGCGTTTATGTTCCACACTTTTAATGTGTGCTTATGTAAAACAGTCAGAACCTTTCCCTCTGCTTTTCAGCCATGTAGTGAGAACAGCACCCGGGAGAGGAGTGCTTACCCGCTCCGACAGCCAGGAGAAAAGAAGGAGTGTCCACCGACTGAAGAGACAGAGCCATGCAAACTCAACAGGAACTGCTTTCACTACACCTACAACATCACTGGTCAGCATTAACCTGTTCAGATTTGTTTCCAAAGAAGTTGGGATATTATGTATGTTAATAAAAACAATGAATGCACATCAATTAAATTCTGTACTTAGAGCAGGGGTCTCAAACTCCAGGCCTCGAGGGCCGGTGTCCTGCAGGTTTTAGATGTGTCCTTGATCAAACACAGCTGATTTAAATGGCCAAATGACTTCCTCAACATGTCTTGAAGTTCTCCAGAGGACTGGTAATGAACTAATCACTTGATCCAGGGTGATATCTAAACCTGTAGGACACCAGCCCTCGAGGCCTGGAGTTCAAGACCCCTGATTTAAAGACACAGCGTAGTGCAGTGTTTAGCACTGCAAATTCAAAGCAAGCACATCCTGGGTTTAAGCTGTTCAGTGCCCTTCTGTTTAAAGTTACCGTTTCACTTTGTGCCTGCGTGAGCTTTTTCCATGTACTGTATGTTTAAATCCTCATAGGTGTCAATGTGAGCATGAATGATTGTCTTTTTGTGTTGGCTTTGCAAAAGACTTGCGATCCTTCACTGAGTGTACATCCAGCATGCACGGATTAATTAAAGGAAGGAAAACAGAATGTCGGTTGTTTAAACTGAAACTTTGGCCCGGTCATTAAAAAGTATTTTATGGGTCAGAAATAAACAACTTGGGGTTAGTACCCTTCCCAGGCATACAGACTGAAGCAGCCAGAGATTGAACCACCAACCTTCAGACTGTAGATGACCTACTCTCCTACCTCCTGAGCTACAGCCACCCCTGTTATGCTGACCTTTTACTGTGTCTCTTCAGAATGGAGTACCTGTCAGCTCAGTGACAAAGCAGTGTGTGGAAATGGATTCAAAACCCGCATGCTGGACTGTGTGCGTAGTGATGGTAAATCTGTAGACCTCGTCTTCTGCAAAGAGGTGAGATGTTTGGTACTGCTTGCCTTTTAAACCTTTGTAAATGGTTCTGTTTGAGTTCATGGATTACTAATGATATTTCTTTGCAGCTTGGTCTGGAGAGAAAGTGGCAAATGAATGCATCCTGTGTTGTGGAGTGTCCTGTTAATTGCCAGCTGTCTGACTGGTCACCATGGTCTGGCTGTAGTCACACATGTGGACTGGCAGGTAAACAAATCCAGGGAAGAATTGGAATTAACCAGTTACATTTTTCGCAGTAGTGTTTTGCTACTATGTGCTAATGTTTGAGTCCAACAGTCTCTAATCATATATGTTTCCTTTTAAGTTTTCTGTACTTTACCTGCACTGCACTGTGTTATTTTACAGATAGAAACTGTTCACAGCTCAGCTGCTCTAACAGGAATGATGAACACTGGAATAAAAGTGAATGTGGGAATTACCAACCTTTAATTCATGTCGATTGTCCAAATGCTTTACAAATGTTCTCTTAGCTTGGACTTGCTGGTTATAGTGCAGGAGGTTTCCCCACCTGGTGACTCCATTGTCCTACTTCATCACATGACAGTGAGACCTGGAGTGGTTTGGGAGGAACGGCCTGCCTCGAGTGGTTCAGATTACTGGATTTTTGTGCAGTTTGTGACAGAGGAATGTTCATGTGCACATGGCACTAGTACGCCCTGGGTAAATGATTGATTCTGGAAATAGTTTTTTTGAGAGTTTTTGAGAAGCTAAGCATTTAACAGATCAGCATCTAGTAGTTAGTTAGATCAAAAGGCAGGGTAGGATGGTATATCAGTATAGTACCAATTGCCTTCCTAGTGAAGTTAAATAAATCTGTAAATTCCTCAAAAAAGCTGCCTTTGAGTTTGGTCCTGCCCGAGAGTGCTACACTTTGGGTCCTGTCCTTCCTTGCCTCATACAGCGTTACATGACATTACATAGCAAAGGAAGAGGTCTTTATGTTTCAAGTAAATAATGTTATCCTATTCTTTTTTACCCAACCATTAATATTTGAATTTATTCATTTATCTGCTTTTTGGCAGGCAAACTGTGGAGAAGACGGACAGTGGTCCAAGCTCCGCAGGGTGATGGGAGGCCATGTCCATCCCAAATGGAACAGTGGAAGCCCTGCCTGGTGAAGCCCTGCTACAGGTGGAGATACAGCGCCTGGTCTGAGTGCAAATCTGAGGTCAATTAGCCTTCCTCTTCTTCTTCAACATATTTACCAGAATAGTGAAACACTGTATTTAATTTTCACTAGTCACTAATTTTACTAGCGTAAAAAATATTATATAAAACCATTAAAGTCATATTAAACCATCCTGACATACTCACCTAGATGAGGAGGGATAGTCCAAAATGAAGGTGTCTCACAAGATGCTGTCATCAGACTTTCCAGAAGACTAACTTTGACCAACATTGTTGTGACGTTTGCCATTTCACTATTTAGTAAACCCTAAAAGACACGCTGTGACTCTCTTCCACAGCATGTCTTTATCCTGTCTTCCTTCTCTCACCATAACCGGTCGCAGCAGATGGCCCCGCCCCTCCCTGAGCCTAGTTCTGTCGGAGGTTTCTTCCTGTTAAAAGGGAGTTTTTCCTTCCCACTGTCGCCACGGTCTACCTTACAATATGAAGCGCCTTGAGGCGACTGTTGTTGTGATTTGGTGCTGTATAAATAAAAGTGAATTGAATTGAAAATTTATACTTAGTATTCATAAGAACTTTATAAATGAAAAATGGGACAATTAACATGACAAATGTCTTGACCAGTGTTGGTCAAGTTACTTAAAAAAAGTAATCAGTAACTAATTACTGATTACTTCCCCCAAAAAGTAATCCCGTTACTTTACTGATTACTTATTTTCAAAAGTAATTAATTACTTAGTTACTTAGTTACTTTTTAAAACACGATTTACAACCTGAAGAGGTGATAAAGTGATAGATCTTTCAGCCCAATTCTACTTTTTCTACATAATCCATCATACAAAATGTAATCAAATGGAAAAGTCTCTTTTTAAAACTTGTTTTATTAG